TGTACTGCCCAGGCACGGTAGGGGGCGCACTGGAGGTGAGCCAAGCAGGACTTCCCCTTGAGCTGAAATACCAGGTGAGTTAGGCTAAGTGCAGACAGAGAGCAAGAGAAGAAGGCAGACAGAGCATCCCAGGAGGAGAGAGGGGAGGGTCAGAGCAGGAAGGTGTCTGGGTGGAGGACACACATAGGTCAGTGGGACTGGAACACAGACTCAAGAGAGTCAGAGGGCTAGCAGAGGCTGGCTGGAAAGGTGGGCAAAAGCTCGGTGAGGAGTGCCCCCTGCAAGGGGAGGGACCGAGGCTGTGCACCCGTGGGGCCTAGAGGGTCAGGTACTGATCAGACAGCTCCCCGAGTGATGACACACCAAACTACCTGCTCGTGAGCTTACAACGGAGGAATCGAACCAGGTTTGGAGATGGGCTATGAGGGGAGGGGAGGACTTTCCAGAAAGGACAGTAGATGCAAAGGTTCTGCTGAGTCCAGGAACTGGAAGGAGTAGGGACAGGGCAGGGTGGCCAGGGAGCGAGAGCAGTGGAGACTAAAGGCTGCCGCTAGAGAGGCCTGACCTTTTTCCACCCTAAAAAACAACAAAATCAAATTTGTTTCAAAACATACCACTGCCCTATGAATGGCTGGAGAGGGCACGGGGTGGCGACTGTCATGACCAGATGGGCACAGCTATGACCAAGGCTGGGTGATGGTGTGGGATGTCCTTCCATCCAGAGCCACTAAGCTGCCACCGGAGCTGACAACTGGATCCTCCATGCCACGTGTTGAAATCACTGAAAATCATAAATCAAGCTAATGAAGCATTAAAAATTGTGTCCTGTGCTCCTATTCCCTCACAGTAACGGGGGTGGGGGGGAGCTGGATTCAAACTGAGGGTTCTCAGAATCCTGGCACGCCCCCTGTCCCTTTCTTTCCACCTCCAGCTCTGTCTTGCCCAGCGAGAGGCCTCACAGGTACACCATGGGCATCTTGGGTCCTTTGCCCAGCGTTGACCATGTTCCCTACAATGGCTTCCTCTTGGCTGTGCCCGGGCCTTGAGGTGCTCACACCACTGGTGTGGCTGCTCACAGGATGGGCCTGTGCAGGGAATGGAGGTGGGTTTGGGGACATCAGGGCTGGAAGGGCATAGGTGACTCAGGAAGGTGAGAGTCTCCTGGCCCTGCTGCCATCTGGCACTGTGTGGACAGGCAAGTTCGACAAGGGCCAGACCAGGTCCTTCAGCGTGTGGCCAGGACAGGCTGGCCTCCTGTCATGCCTGAGTGACACCAAGGAGCTGAGCTGGATCTCCTGAGGAAGAGCTGTTGAGGGGGCGGTGGCACAAGCTGGTAGGAGCCTGGCCTTCACTGACGCAGGGCAAGAACCAATGTGGGAGCGAAAATCATAAGTGCCTTTGAAGGTGATGAGGTGTCTTACGAACATCCTAGGGTGGGCGCCCTGTTAAATTCGGGGGTCTGACGTTCAGAGGCGAGGGCTGGCCCTCCTCTAAGAGGTCTTGAGCTAGAAGCGCAGGAATCTGTTGACTAGGCAGAAGCTGAGGCTGGGGTCTGGGCTGGGTGAGAGGCTACACAGAAAGAAGAGAGGACCCAGGCAGGGTCTGGATTTGGGGCTTTGGAGAGCCCCAACACTTACAGACTATGCATGAAGGAGGAGGTGCAAAGGCGGTAGAGGGAGCATTATTGTGACTGTCATCCAAAGCGGATCTGCTTGAGGGGGTTCTGCACTAGACCTTGAGCCCCTGCAGGGGGCTGGGCCCCCAGGGCATGGACCATGAAAGATCATGCAAGAAGAGGCCTGGGAAAGACAGGCAGGGCTCTCTGCCAAGGGGTATCTGTGTAAACAGAAGGTGCTTGAGAGAAGGCCAGAGCTAGGAATGGGGGGAGCCCAGGTCCTTCCTCCCCCTCCCCCAGAGCCAATCTGACAGTCTTGCTCTCAATGCCCCTACCAAACCTTTTTTCAGAATTACTGAAGACAGAATCCCTGTGGTGAACAAGCCTTAAGAAAATAACATTCAAAACATGCAGGGAATTCTCAAAAACAGGGGAACAAGTTGTGGCAGGAGCTGCTGTTCTAGGGGAGGGACGGGACAGAGGGGTGGAAAGGAGGAGCAGGAGGGATGGAGAGCGCCCGCATGTGGCTGGACCAGAGCGGCTCTCCTAGGGTTGTCCCAGGCCAGGAGGAGAGCAAGGTCAGCCCTAGACTGGGGCCAGGATCTAACTGGGCCATCCACTTACAGGGACTGTGAGATGCTCCGGGGATGTAAGGAGGACAAAGAAAAAAATGACTCAGAGTTTAAACCTCAGGAGCGGCTGATACAGGGGATGGGTGTCCAAACAATTCATGGAAAATGCATATGATGAAAAAACTATACATGGATTTCAACATCTCCTATGCCAAAATAACTTCATATTCTAAGTCCATTTTTCCCGCACTGTCTGAAGTCCCTGGTACACTAGGAGCAATAAGTAACCATCACTATTTATTGATCATCGGACTTGCACCCTCCACACACAATCTCCAGGGGGGGGCATCAGAAGCAGGTACACTCTCCTCCCATTTCAGGGATGGGCAAACTCACCCATGGTCACAGTCCTGGGACACCACCCCCCACCCTGGCAGGACTACTGCAAACCTAGAGTCTTCCACCCCGTCTCTTTGGCCTGTGAGCTTGCAGTGGGATGGGACGCAGCTTCCCCAGGATGAAGGAGGTCTTTTACAGGCTTGCTGGGTCAGGCATGATGCTAAATGACCCCCAGGGAGAAGGCTCAGCCGAGGTACTGCGGCTGCTGTCCAGAGCTGTGCTGAGTCGGAGCAGAAGGAAACCCGACCTCATCTCCGAGTTTTAGGGAAAGGGGGTGGGGTGATGAGGGGGGCTTGCAAATGTGGGCAGCAGCCTTTCCCTGAGCTGCACGTCCTCGCCTCCTACAAACCAAGGTTCTGTGCCTCTCCTGTGTGGCTGTAGCAGCGCTTTCCGCCCCGGATCTAGGCTGATCATCGCGGCCACACTGAGCATGCCGCCCACGCAGGCAGTTCACGAGGTTAGTTAATGGCGTTCATTAATCCTCCCGATAATCATCTCCCAAGTCGGAGATTCACAACTTGCACTGTTTATGCACTTCATATTTTTCTTTAAATGTTTTCACGCTTCATCTACAAGATATTTAAAAGTGAAACTTTACTTTTATACTTGGAAATGCCAACTTTCCCCGCAAATGACCAGCAACCATTAACGTAAGAAGCAAGCGGTCTCTGGAAATCCCACTTTCACAATTCCCGGAGGGAGTTTTTTCTCCTTTTATCGGTCTCAAAAAGGATAAGCACAGAGGGGCCGGCAGAGGAACTCAATTCCAAACTGGGTCCCTGCAGTCCTGGTGGCGATCTTTGTCCCTGTCGGCTTGCAGCTCGGGACTGGCTATTTTGGTCCCACTGGGTCAGAAGCTCCTACTGAGCCTGCAGGAGACATGCAATAAATACTTGTCAGGTGAAGCACACAGGTGATTAAATAAATGCAATTGGACTGTTTTATTACGTGCCTGGTGTGGGCTGTTAGTCACCGCCTCTGCTGAGCCCCATGAGGGCAGGAAAGCCGAGTCTTGAGGGAGAAAGGTAACTTGGGCTGAATTCCGGAAACAGCACATGACTCATGTTTTAGTCAATCCATTTTTTTTCCCACCAAAATAATGACTATACTTACTTTTAAGTTACCTTTATGTATTCAAAATCCTAATTACTTTTGCACTGTTCATTTAAATGTTAGCTACATTTGTTACAAACATGCTTAAAAGAACCATTTGCCACCCCAGCCTCAAGAAGTCTCAGTTTAATTTTAGAAGTATGTAGGAAAGGATATGACTGCTGGATCTCCCAGAAGCCCCCTACGCAAGCACTTTCATGTCCTGTTTTGTGAGGGCTTAAGTCCAGATTGGGGTTGGGGGGGCAGTTTAAAAATCTCAGGGTGCTTATAGGTAGATGTGGCTCAATTCCAGGCTGTAAACTCCAAGGTTTTCTATACGCTGGTTAGGAGCAACTTCTCCCTCTTTTCAGGTGGCCACCACAAAGACACAGTAAATGTCATTAAAATGCCTTCTGCCTTATCTCCCCCACCCTGCTCCAATTATTCATTTTATTTTATTTTATTTTATTTGCCAAGAATAAGCCTTCACTCACTGTACAGTCACACAGGGATGAGTGCTTTTTAGGTGTGGGAGTTTGAGATCACACTTCCACCGCTGGCCCAGATGTCTTTGCAAGAGTGGAGCTCATTCAGACTGGGATTTTCTCCCTCCAAAGTAGAAAAACGTCTTTGGCTTTCAAGCCATCTGTTCTACCTGTAAAAAGCTAACCAGTTCTAGGAAAGTGAGGGGGAACCGCAGCCATACTTGAAATGGACTTGTGGTCGGGGAATTGTTTTTTAAAAGTTATCAACAAATTGGAAAGCGGTGTAAAAAAGGCAAGACAGCGAGACCTGAATCTCCAGGAAATGGAGACAAGTCAGTCAATAGCGCCTTCCCAAAAGATGACGTGTACATGATTCCTGTATGTAAACATAACATTTAAAAAATAAAACCATTTGGAAAGAGGGAAGAGGAGTGATTTCCCAGGCTCGGAGGTGCCGTTGTAGAAGGGCCACAGGAGGGGTGACGGAGTGTTCTGTATCTCGCCGGTGTTGGTGGGTACACGGATCTGCACAGGTGATGAACATCGTGCAGAGCTTAATACACGCGAACGATCGGTAAAATCGGAGACCTCTGAATAAGATGGGTGACTGTACCGAAGTCGATATCCTGGTTGATATTACAGGTTTTTTGTTTTTTCAAAGTCTTGCGAAGAAACAGCACTGTGGAAACGGGGCAGAGTGAATTATTCCTTACAACTCACTGCATGTGGCCCTACAATTACTCAAGGAAAAAAGCACAAAGAACAGCGGGCCAGCCGTCGCGCGCGTCCCGGCCCTTCTCAGGCTCTGCGAGCGCCAGGGAGCACGCAGCAACCCGTATGGAGGGCGACAGCGGGAGCTCGTGGGCCCTGGGGCTGCTGCGAACCTTCGACGCGAGCGAGTTCGCAGGCTGGGAGAAGGTCGGCTCTGGCGGCTTCGGACAGGTGTACAAGGTGCGCCACGTCCACTGGAAGACGCGGCCGGCCGTCAAAGTGCCCGCG